AGGAGTGGAAACATATCTGGAAAAGCTTTTATTTTACTTATTCTCAGAAGTTTGGCTACCTTAGTAAAAATAATCTATATTCTTTGCATTATGCTTGACCCTGCACCTTCTTACTGCTTCAATGACAATTTACGTGTACTGTAATTGTAGGCCGTGAGTTTAAACGTCTTATCTACAATCACTGAAGTTCAGCTTAAACAAAATTTGGAATAGGGATAAGAGATGAATAGAATATTTTGCAAATTGATCAATATTGTAATGTGTTTTTGTTGCAATATTTTCTTTCCCTTAAGACTATCACTTGTATTCTTTTTTCAAAGTTTAGATTTTGTGTTGCTTAAATGTGGTATGAAGTCAAATTTGCCCTTATGAAACGCAAATATGGACAAATTCATAAGGTACAGGCAAATCGTTCTGATCAACTGAATTTGGCTAGCTGATATGCATAAACCAGTAAACTATACCGTTGCGATAAACGTCAATGCGGGTCATGCAGTTTGTAAATAACCTACAATTAGGTCGTTCTATTTACGGGATAAGACTATTTTTTTGGTAAAATATTCACTTGCATTAAGTTCCTCAGGGCAATTAATATTAAAGAAAGTGAGAATTAAGTTAGAAATGTAGAATGTTTTTCAAACTAGTAAGGCTGTAGGAATTAAAAGATGGTATTTCATGAAAATGAAATGGATGGAGAGCAAAAGAAAAACAGCAAAATTTAAGAATTTGCAACAAAACCTAGTACACTGTTAACAAGCTGAAGGTTGAAGCATTGAGAAAAATAAATTCAGTAAGAATTACCACTTTGACTATCATGTATTAAAAGCCCACCACTTAATTTTGTTGTAGATAAGGTATAATAATGTAATTGCTTGTATTACACCGTCACTGATTCGACCCAATTGATCGGTCCCTATTGGCATATGGGCTCTTGCGTAAATGCGTTGTCCAATAAAGTTGAAACGTGCGTCCTGAATTCCACCACTAGCTACTATTTATCATCGATATATATAGTATATTAGTTACTAATTGTTTATTGTTACTGGAGATTTTGTAAGAACTAAAGTTTCTGAATGCTCTTAGAAAAAAACCATCAGTCTGTTTAATAGTGACCCGTCAAATTTATGTATAGTAATGATGGGCAGTGGCTAGCAGTGGAATCTTCTTTATTTCACCTTCATTTGATCTTTAATTGTTGTTAAAATGTAGTATTTCTTATTACTTCATATCTTTTTGTATTTTATATGTGTTAAAATTCTTGTTATCTATTGTAAGCTGATCTAGGAAAAAGAGTACTGATCTGTTATGTTTTTCAAATATTTATCCATATCATGCTAGTTAAAAACTTTTAACCTTAGATATGTGTTATACATTGAAGAGACGGATTTTATTTCACTTTTCATAAATTATTTGATACTGAATGAAAAATTTCTCACGAAGATAAAATATTCCGTCAGAAGAGTGTTATCAAAATTCTTGATATAAGTCAAGATAATATAAATTTTTCATTTATTTCAAGTAATCTATCAAGTTGTTAAATCAACCTTTGTTTCTGTGATGTAATATACAAATGAAAGACAACTGTTGTCATGAAAGATAATCATCAAAAAAAAATACAAAAAGTAGTGTTAATGTAAATTTTGTAAGTTATTTTGAAATTAAATAACAGCTAAGAGAAGTATATCGTAAAATGTTTGAATACTAGTTACTAATTTAGATATTTTTCAAAAGAAAGTTTAGCGTAAAACGTTTGTTATATTTTTCTTGGTAAATAGTACGTATTGTATTATATATACTCTTAAGATAACTAGTTATCTTTTACCATCAGTAGTTATATTTTATGCCCAATATTACGTTGTTTAAACTAGTCTTGAAGCATTGGCTAGGTCATATTTACAGATGAAATTTTTTGACTGAAATCTAACTTATTTCTCATCATTTTTTGACTTTATTTGTATTTGAGATCTTCAAATCAGACAAGCTGTTTTTCTACAAATGTAAAGATTTGTGTTTATTGAATACATCAGCATAATTGTCAAGAATAAGATTTTTTTATTTATTGTCTTCATAACCGATTAATAATGAAATAAAAGTGTCTTGATTTAACAAGAATTCATCTTTGAATATTACAGCCTGCTTCCTGAAAAATGTAATAAATTACTGTATAATTTTCATGAGAATGAATAGTTTTAACAACTCCTCATAAAGATAATTAGATTAGCTTTCAAAATGTTCAATACTTTATAACTGCTGATTACGTAGTCACAAAATACGCTGTTTATCTTGAAACTGATCGATAAGAGTTCAGTATAAAAGATGTTAAGCATATTTTTTCGATCAAACATGTTAAACCTGAGGTCATTTTCTTGAGTGACTACTTTTATTGGCAATTTAGTGGTCAAATGATATTCTTTACAGTAATATCTTTGTCAAATTGAACAGTTGCACATACATATCGTCTAAGTGCTTTTATTTGGTTGCAAACTAAACTGATACCTTCATTTCCGAGGAACGGGTAAAAGTCAGTCATTAGACAAGAAAGAGGTGTTCTAAACAATTTAGATTCGAAGTAAAAAGCTGAAACAGGAACCTATATTATCATTAAATGACAGACTTGCAAATAATATTATGCTATGTGTTATGTTTATGCACTGTTGGTGTTGTAGGACGTTTTTAAGAGTCAAAATACATGTCGGTTATAAGTCAGAGACTCACTAACTCAGTTTCTTGCATATCTTCATATATATATATATATATATATATATATATATATACATATATATATATATATATATATGTATAGTTGAGGAAAATCATATACATGAGAGATAAAGTACACTTGCATTTCTGATAATTGAATTAATCACTGCGAAAAATCAGTTGTTTAGGCTTTTAACCACAAACGAATTTGGTGGGATGGTGAGACTGAGACTGATGATTCCCTGTTAAATGCTAAAAGTCAATACTGAGAAATTCTGTGTATTGGATTGCATTCTAATGACTCATCAAACTCGTACGTTTGTTGTGACCAAAAGCTCATGAGTACTAACAAGGCAGAGGTCAAATGTCAATGTTGTCACAACAGCTTGTTCCCTAGTTGCTTTATACTTTTACGTCATATGTTATTAACCAGTCGAAATTCTGTTCGAGTAACCTACTAAAACTCGTCAGAAAATCAGTTACTTCACATGACTCGTATTTCTGCATTATGTAAAGATGTCATTATGCTTATATAGATATATAAAATAAACTGAGTATTGAAAATCACATTTAGTCGCTAAGGTACACACTAATGTTTTCTAAATTGTATGTGTTGATTTTAAAAGGCCTTATTTGTCAGTATCGCGTTATTTACTGTTTTCATCTTGTCAGAATGAATATTCTGCTTTCTTTAGAATCTACGTTCCATGAAAGAATTATGAAAGTAATCTGTCTTGTGTCATGAATATAGTGAGAGAAAAACGAGCTAGTAGGATGTAAGAACATCAGTCAGTAGTTTAGGAGTTACAGATTAGTCTTGAGTTAGACTATTATCTTTATTACCATTATTATTATTATGTGTCCCTTAGGTTCCCAGTCGAACATGGGAATTCAGTAGCATGTCTCCATTCCACTCTCTTCTCTACAATCTTTTCAACCTGACTCCATGGCTGCCCAGAAGCTCTCATTTCTTCCTCACACGATCTCCTCCATGTCACTCTCTCCTCGGACGCCCAACTCGTTGTTTCCTATCTGGGTTCCACTCGACAACCTGGCCTGACACGTGATGTCCTCGAATGCTCTTCTCAGTGTATGCCCAATCCATCTCCATTTCCTCCTGCATATTTGTTGAGCGATGGGTTGTTGGTTGGTTCGTTGTTAGCCAGCCAGCCAGCTAGCCAGCCAGAGTTCCTTGTTGCTTATTCTAATTATTCTGGCCATCTGAGCTTCAGTAACGAGCCAGTGTAGGTAGTTGTCGATGAATGCCTGCAGTTTGTTAGGAATACCTTTCGTAACAAGCTAAGTTTCTGAACTATATAGAAGCACTGACTTGACGTTGGTGTTGAAAATCCGGATCTTGTTTCACATGCTCAATGAGGAAGATCTCCACACTCGTTTCAGGCTAATGAACGCCTGCCTTGCTGTCTTTCCGATCCTGGCTGGCTTCGACGTCCTCGTCTGTGCCTGCGGTGCCTGTAGTTGAAACGGTTCTGCCTAGATACGTGAAAGAGACTACTTATTTGAAGCTTCTCCAGTTGATGATGATTTTAGCATGTTGTTGTTGTTGGTGGTGGTGGCTTTAGTTGGGTATCTTCATCACCTGTCTTCTCTACGTTCACTTGAAGGCCCGTCTTCACTGCCCTGCCTCTTCTGTCAACTTGTTAGTTTTCGCCTATTGATCTTCAAGTTTGTGTGCCATTAGACACAAGTCATCGGCGAAATCCAGATCTTCTAGGTTCTTTTCCACGGTCTAGCGTATCCGCCTCTTCTTGTTCCCCAGTGTTTGCTGCATGATCCAGTCGACCGCAATCAGGAATATCATGGATGATAGTAGGCAACCTTGTTTCACTCCTGTCTTCACTTCGCTTCAAAGGCATTACTGAGCTTCCCATTGTGAATTTCTTGGCTGGCATGTGGCGTTTTCATATAGTTGTTGAATGAGGCTGATAAAGGTTTGTGGTATTCTGTAGTGTTGAAGCAGTTTCCAAATTACCTCTCATTCGACGCTGTCAGAGGCCTTCTCAAAGTCGATGAAGTTGGGGTAGAGAGTTGACTGCCATTCTATACTCTGTCCTATGATGATGCGTAGAGTAGCGTTACAATTCGGTTTATACTATTACTTAAAACTAACCAATTATCTAGATAAGACCGTATGATGCATCTATATCATTCGTTCTAGTATAAAAATTGACAAATTATCTTGGTTGTGTTAATAAAATAATTAGTTTTGGTACTTTAATCAAAGTCTTGAATACATTCGCTCTATTTTGATAACTCTTTGGTTTTTCTCACATCTACAGACTATCTTGTCTGAATTTTGGCCAGACCATCCTGATCCATCCAGTGTAGTCTATCAATGGGAGAGACGTCTACGAAATCGAAGTTTAGGTTTTACTACCCAACAGCTTGATACTGACAAAAATACACCCCTTGAAACTTTGAAATCGAAACAGAAATTATCATTAAAAGTAAATAAATGTTTGGCTTCCAATATCAATTACTCATCGAGTGATTCTTTGTTGGAAAATGAGAAGAGAGATAGTGGATTTGATGAATCAAACAATATTCTACCTAAGATTGATGAAGAACAAATTCAAGACGGAAAATCTATTTCAGTGTCAAAAACTCCGTTAAACTTTTCACACGAAGAAGCAACTAAGTCGATCGCAGAACCACAAATGAAGTTATTGAAGAATATTTTCCCTTCTCAAATTCCTGGATATGTTAAGCCAAACATTCTTTACCCAAAGTGGGTTATATTGTAGTTTTTTTTTCTAAAAGGTTTGATTGATATATGTTAGTTTGTGATAATAGCCTCAAATACTTTGATGATTCACAATGGCGGTCTGTTCATATGCATCAATATATCTCATAGCATCAAGCGAGTTGTCAAGAGATCAGTTATTAAATGTGTATTCAAGTAGTAAGACTTTGATCACCTGTGATTCCGCTATAAAATGTGAAAGTCTTAAAACATTAAGAAAATGTAAGGAGTTAACATAGCTATTGGCGAAAATATCCAGTTTTTATCGGTATTCATGTAAATGGTTCTCAAGACGAAACTGCTTTCAGCTTTGTAACTGTCTGTTAAATAACACCAGGCTGTCAGTAACAGTGTGAACTTCACTGCAAATTGTTCACTGTGACTGTATTCACAGATAACAGATTATTCAGTAGCACTGACTGCGGACACTGTGTCATAAATACCAGCTATGTAATTTGTATGGTTTAAGTTCCAAATATCAACAATGGGTATTTACAGGTTATTGCATCAAAACCATACTTTACTCTTTGAAAAAGGGGTGGCTATAGTGACTAAGCAGCCCAGTGGATAATACTTTGATGCTTGAAGTGATTGATCTCGGATTCGAGTCTGATTATGAAAAACATCACTCACTGAGAGGTAGATATATCCAGACGACGAGTAAGTAATAGAAAGAAACGCGTATCCTGGGTTCCAATGTCAGTCATTATCCATCAATAATATCAGGAGAATGGTTATTTTCATTGATTGGTTACTGAAGGATTTTATATAGTCTAGTCCTAAGTCCTGATCAAATCCTATCGATAACTTTGTAATGTGGACAGCAGGCTACCGTCCGCACAAATTATACTTCAAACAGTTGTGTGGAGTTCTATAAATAGTTGTTGATTTACAGAGAATATCTGTATTCCCAACGCGTCCTCTGAATTCAGTCAATTAACAGAAAGAAATACTTAACTGATTATTTTCGTCTACAGTTATTTGATTGTTATCTTTTAGGCTCAAAACAGTATTATTCTCCATCTTTCAGTGCCACGGCACAAGAAAATAATGCCAATCTTCTAGAAAAAAATGCTGGAGAACCATCCCTACAAAAAAAATCAAATGTAAAATTACAAGAACAATCCCCAAATACCACAGGATTATCTGGATCAACATTTATTTATCGAAAAAACCTGATTGATGCCACTAATTCTTTACTTCATGTTAATTCAATAGTCCCCTCACTACCAGTCTATTATTCAATTTGTCAGCATCATCATTTAAAGAGTCTGCAACAAAAGATGAACCCAATTAATCCTCATCTTCTACTCCCCTCCTCTCTTGTTGAGCAACAACAACAAAACCAACAGCTAAAAAAACCTAACACCTTAAGCAAACTACTTTCGAAATACCATAATCGCCTACAGATCGGCGAGAAGGTTCTTCAACGTGCTGAACAGCGTCGTGATGAACTGTCTATGAAAGAGAATCGATTGCCAGTAAGTGGATGCTAGAGCCATAAATTGCTAAGTGAAACTGATCATTTAATTACATATGAATTGTGATTGACGAAAAACAATTTGATCTCTAGTAACTCAACATAGATGTCATTATTTACTCAATTTTCGCAACACGTGTCAGCAATTTAAGGCAATACTGTTTCATCTTTCTAGCAAACTATGTGAATTGATTGCTTAACTCATTCCCTTCAATAACCAGTGTTTCCCTCTAGATACTTCAAAGGTAAGAAAAATACGCCTTCATCTAGATAGTAGCCAATCCTATGCAGCTTCATGGCTTCAGATCAGTTTACTGTCACAAGTTATTTCATAATCCTATAAAGCAGAGGATCAACTGAAGAAGGCATATATACGAGGTGAATTCTCCATAAATGGGTTTGCGTGGCGAACAAATGAATACAAGGCTCACCCGAAATTTCACCTTCATTCTTTTTCTGTGCAAAAGGGCTTGCCATACAAATATAGCGGTAGTTTCAAAGTAAAATTTTTCGAAAAATAGGGTGACTACTTTGAAGGTAATCTTAGCGACTGCTGAGATAACCAATTAGGCTTCAGTATTTCGTAAAAATTTACTTTTCTGATCGGAATACAGCAACTAGATTGGTTATTGCAGCTGTATGAATGTGAAGTGTCATTTTATCCCTTTTCTGTTTAAGTCGTAGGGTGTATAATGAGGGGTCTACCATTGCTCGATAAAAGATGAAACATTTAACAAAAGGAAGTGGTTTATGGAATCTGCACCAGCATTCCGGCTAAACAGCGAACTTTCAATACTACAATATTCAGTACAGAATGGGATGATATGGTAGATAGTGGGGAAAATAACACTCACTGGTGTACAAGTGTATCCAGTTGGTGAGTCCGAAATCGGACGAAACATATGTCCTGGACTTTGTCATAATGAATAATCAAATAATACTGAGGCATCCACACTGCGATGCATATACATAGAGAGTTTGATCAATTCCATACATTATAACAACAGGAAATCATAAGTGTCAGTAAAATACTAATTGGTGAACACTTTCAAGTCGATGAAACAAAATATCAAAAAACATGGTCTAGAACAAAAGTAATAATTTGTTTCAATAAATGAAGAACCCACGTAATATAGACAAGAATTAAGATAAATTCCAAGGATCGCGGTGATACTGTTTAGAAAAGAATGAGATGGGTAATACAAAGACTGCGTAAGATGTATATCATTTAGTATGAATCAATAAAACATTACTTTTACTGAAAAGAAACTAAAATGTTACGGACTGGTTAAACATTTCTAAAAATAAAAATCACACAGAAAACCAGCCAAGTAGAATTTTGTGAATTATCTTCCTATTTGCTTTGATCAAAAGTATAAAGTATTTTACTAATAATACTGCTTATAGTAAACACTGTTAGATTCCCTACTACCTGTTTTACAGATGTTAAAGTAAGAACAATTATTAGATAAATACACTTATATAATACTTTCACCTATTGAACTTGCAAAGCGCATGAACCTCTTATTTGAAATCTTACTCTATCTACTCACTGAATGGCATGTTTTATTTTCTTATCATTTGAAAGTTACGTGAGTTTATTTATTTTATTATTAGAGATTATCATAGTTTTTCAAACTTGTGTATTGACATTGGATTTAATACCTGCAGCGGAGCAGATTTTTATTTCACCTTCAACCATTACGAAGTACTAAACAAAGTTCTTGCTTTCAATAAAAAGAGTGATCATTTTCACGAGAATATAAGCGATCCGATCTGAACAATGATCATCAAAAAATACAGTACGTCTACATCTTAAGGCTCTTTATAAGCCTAAGGAGTATCTACTCAAAATAGTTCTCTGTGAATAATTTATTATGCTTTTAATCTCTTGTCGTTAACACTACTCACATAGTTTGTTTCTTTTTCTAAATTGTCAGTTGGATGAACGACATGATGGCAGTGCATGTATGCAAAATAAAACCAACGAGAAGATTCATATTAAAGTGAATGATTATCGAAAAGACAAAATCTATAGTCAAACTATTAATACTACAAAGCCTACCAGTAAAACATGTAATGCTATTAGTAATTACAACACCAAAGAAATCAATAAGATCGGACCACATATCGGGGAATCAATAAAATTTTCTAAGCTGAAAAATCAGTCAGTAAAGATACAACAATTCAATATTAGTCAACAAATCAAAGTAAACACAACTCTAATGAATACTACTGCTAAAAACAGAATTGATAATACATGTAAAGGTGTTAATGAGCAAGTCAATCTGAACAACACTGAAATGACCAAACAGCCTGACAATGTATCACCAATAAATCACTGTTTATATGTTACCAATGATCATAAGGTATTATCTACAGAAGTACAGAATATCAATAAAGACAAAAAAACTGGTACCATACCATCCATTAAAGAGGGTAAAAATCATGTTACTACCCCTCATGTTGATAATGGTCAGCTTGAACTAAAAAGTAAACATAATTTAAATGAAATGTTGACTGATACGAAGAAACCACATGCTGTTCATTTATACCAGAAGGATTCAACTAGAGGTAAGCTATTATGCTTAGTATCATTTAAGGGGTTGGGAATTAGTTATATTAAAAAGTGTTTGAATAATTTCCTTCAGCTGTTGTTTAGCTGCTCCTAACCAAAATATCAAGATATTAACGAGCCTACTAGTTCTTAAAACCAATGACTCCACATACTGTTCCCTGTATGGTTATCAATATCGCACTTAACAGTTTCCTATATCATCAGTGAACAAATGAGCCTAAGAACGGTATGATTTGATAATTATGCTTTTACGTTAGTTGGTCCTCGAATCCTTAATAGCTCGAGTATGTGAATCAAGCAGCATACATTATGCTACATAAACGGGAATAACGGCGGATCAATACATTAACTGAAGAAAACCGTTCATCTCTTCGTCTTAAAGCTTAACAAGTTACTCTATTTCAACCACAGACTGACGTTGTTGTAACCAAAACAAGTGTCAAGTTCACATTATTTTATGCTATCTATGAACCACACTTGTGGTTAAAGTCAAGAATTAACTCATTCTAATCGTTGATAGCAACAAATTTTTTTGTTAGCTCTTAGTTTAACTTATCAACACTAAAAATATTGCTTAGAAGCATAATTGAAAAACTACTCTGACAATTTTACTTCTTATCCCCTGACCTAATGTTTAAGATGAGTTTTGTGTAGGTAGGACTTTTTAGTTCAATTTCTTGGTGGCAATGAGAAGTAGAATTAAAGCTGTGAATTTCTACCAGTTTTAGACTCATCAACTAGATATCTCATTCCGATTTTAACTCACTACCCTTTACTTCAGAATACTGAGAATACTGAGTATTGACAAACGACGAACGAGTTTCTATGGAAATGTTACTGACAGGACCTCTTAGTGAATATATATCGAAAAGGATATTTGAATTGAGAGTTATCGTAAAGAAGGGAATCGATATCAATCAACCTAAAGATCTGCTGTGTTCTAGATATCACAAAAGCATTTATGTATATTATAAGGGTATATGCAGAGACATGGTTTATAGATTTATCTTCAACTTTCGTTCGAAATTAAAATTTATAGTTTGTAGGGATTGTAGCCTTTCAAAATGTTTTTCGAAATAGCATTGAAACGTTTTTCTCTTGTCTTATATGGTTAAGGAAACTAAAATTTTAATCTAACAACTATGCTTTGTGTTTACGATGAAAATCTTAACTTTTATTGTCTTAAATAAGGCCATTTAGTTGTTTGACTGTTCCCTTAACTATAGGTTATATAAATTGTACTGAAGGAAATGTGGTTTCGTTACTATTCTGTTTCGTTTTCGTATCCAGTAGATGACCTAATAGTTTTTAAACATTTTATGAGTTATCATTTGAAGACTACTAGAATTCGAATATATGAATAGGTATCGTTTCTTCTTCTTTGACTTTCTATTCCACACTCATGTGAGTCTTAATAAGTAGATACTCTTCACTGCAATACATGTAAATTGATAATAATTGTTAATAGGAGCGTTAACTGCGTTCAATTATTTGTACCTAGTTTAGGAGTCAAGCTGACTAAATATTACTCATAAAAAATCGGGCAACTATTAATATAATAGGGGGAAGTTTTAGTTTTTGCATAAGGTATTTCCATAATTTTGTTAAGAAACTAGTTAACGCAATTTAAACATTTGCATGAGTAAGTATTCAATAGCAATAAACACAGCAAAATTTTGAAATTTTTAGGCAAGTCCAGTGAACATATACCTGATTATCGGAATGATGAATCACTCAAACCACTTAGGAGCAGAACATTTAGCGACAAGAAAGGAGAAGTCAAACAAGGAGTGGTAACAAGAACTTCTGAAACGGCTATGTGTAGTACCACAACGGTTGCCGTCACACAAGCAGATCAACCGAAAAATGTACCGAACGTAAACGCTACAGCAGCCAATAATACTTCTGCAACTACACCGTTAGAATTTACCAATGGAGTGAAAGCTAAGCTAATAGCTAACTGTTTTACAGTCAATGCAATTAAAAAGCCAATGTATGATGAACCAAAGTCGTTCTATGGATCCGTTGGGGTAACATATATTTCAGGTAATAACTTGCTTTTAACATATATATATATATATATATATATATATATATATATATATATACTTGTGAGTAATTATCCATATAGCCTGAGAAATACACTGAATACAGATATTTTAGAGCGAAGTTACTTGCTTCTTCAAAAGTTTTTTTCGAACCATTTTGGACAAATATAACGTTTGATTCGACTGTCTAATGATACATTGAGCTTACATGGTCAGTGATTGGCAATCATCATTCAGTATCAAAAGTCGATATTCGCTAATTCATTCCAATCTCTTAAAAATCTAAATCATATGACTTCCAAATTATCATTCTTTGATACTTGAATAGTGTTTGCTGATAACAAGTCCATTCATTTGTTCAGACATTTAGGAAATATGAATTAAGCTCAACACTCCATGAATTTAACCTATAATAATGTTCTTCAATTTTAACTAGTATCCAAAGGCTTTTTTAGACCAAGTATTTAGTAATTTTGCGATATCATTTGTTGCCAGTTGATTATCTACTTAACAATGCCCAGTCGTATTTATTTTTATAAGTAAATATAATTCATGGTGTACACCTGTTGTAAAGCGGCAACCATTTTATCATCTCTTTCTCGTTCATTCACTTCGTTGTTTAGAGATTTATCTGCAACTAAACTTGATTCTTTAAACAGTTATCACTTGGTTACACTGTGTCCTGTAACTTGATTAACAGACCCATACTTCACATACAGATACATTCAGATTGATGTAAGATGATGAGGTCGTGGTTCATTGGTTTAGGAACTAGTGGTTCAAGCGTTCAAACACCTCCCGACTTTCTGGTGTTTAGGCAGCCAGATAGTATTATTAGCTTCGTACAATAGATGTGGCTTGTTGCGACTGTACAAACGTACGCAAGATTACTGAGTGCATTTTAATTGTTTTGTTTAATATAAGGCAGTAAAAGTTTCTTCTGCAGCACAATCTAACTGCCTAAATACCAGTTTTGGAATTAGTCCACTAATCTGTTCTCATAAACGTAGTTTAAACGTGATTCTTCGATTTTCTATTTCGTCTGAATTGATATGATTAAGGTATCAATTTCGCCTCAGCTTTTTTATAAGGCACAACATATTCATGAAACAGTAAACAAGTAATCGTTTCAATTCAACCAGCAGGATTTTGTAGTTATATGGTATACTCCTTTTTCTGTTGATATTTACGTTACATACTAAGCGTTGGTAAAGAGCTTTTGTATACTCAGTACTCCTCGATACTTCAAGACAGTTGGCATAATTCAAAAGATGGGATGAATATATCGGAATTTACTGCTAATTGGTATTTACCTTCATGTTGTTTAGTCATGTGGTTAACTAGGAATGTTTGATGATTAATTTGTTAATCTGAAAGAAAATTCTTACTAGACATGGTGGTGCTACTCTGTTCAAGGGTTTGGAGAGACGAAAATTCTGTGATTACTTTCCCGCTCTTACGTATTCGCGAAAAGTAACTTCAGTGATGTCATGTCTGTGATACCCTACAACAACATCGGTAACAGAAGACGCTCATACTACTCAACACTAGCTACATGTTTAAGTATTAGGCCATGAACCAGACTTGATGTATGAGGTCTTGTAATACTGACTGCCCTGTTGTATAAGCTGTATTAGCTTTTTGTGATGCATGAAGCTAATGATACATAAGTTGCCTATTAAAATTGGGGATCTTTGCAAGCTTTTAAGTTGGTTGGAGTATGACTCCCTGCTACTTTTGAGATTCTGTTGTTATCACTTGTATTACTACACTGTTTTTTATGCTGTGAAATAGGCTACTTGTTTATCGAACTAAACCGAATGAAAAATCACTACTGTGTAAAAAATTTGAAGGTATGGAAGAAGCATTGTCCAGATTTATTTAAAATTAAGAGGCAATCGAATTTATTTTCCCATAGAACAGCTCCCATAATGATAAAGTTATCCATTCTTTATATGAACTGTCAAAGTCTTGTTCTAAACACTGTTTGAGTGTTTCAAGTGAATACAGTCTATGTTTACTTTCTCAGATTAAGCGGTTTGGATCATAGTTTTCGTAATTTCTCGGGTGGTCAAATTCATTGGATATTCAGTTGAGTGTTTGTGCAGTTTTCATCATGGATCGATATCAGCCACAGGAACATTGAAGATCTATTAGTACTGCATAGCTTTAAAATTAATACATTCCCCAGAAACCTACGAATCAAATGACAGTTCGATGCTCGTTAGTGACTTTCTTTGGGATGGATTTCCCAAATTTTTAATAAGAAAGCACCACCTGGCGGGTCAACCAGTTTGATGGTCAGGACAAATATTCGCGAATAGCATTGAAAGATGCTTGTGCTATATCACCGATTGATAAAAGTTCACGAAATACAGACTGCTGAATTCTCGACCCAGTGACTGAGTAGTGAGGCAGGTACTCACTGAAAGAGCTAACCGTCCTTGGCTTGCTACCTCGCATAGTCGTGGGTATGCACTCTAGTGTGCTTCTAAAAATGCCAACTGGCCCCTGACGTCGGCAACGTGCAAAACTCAGCTAACCATAACCTACCTACCTTCCTTGCGTTTGGCTTCTCTCTTGCTTTCACTTCTGATACTGGCAGTAAGCTCCTCGTAGTTTTTTAACCTTTCCTGTGACCGCTATTTACGATCCAAACCAACGTAACACTATTCATAGTTTGATGAAAAGAGGTGACAATTTCACATTAGAGCCCTCAACTTTCCAAGCCAGACAACAGGCGTCACTTTTCGAAAGTATTTTATCCGGAGGTTTGGGTGCCTGCTGCGTTTCTGAGATGCACGTACAGGATCGAAGTTTGGCTATCCACCTGATTCTCGTGACTAGTTTGGTGGGTCTGAGAAATTCACCTAATGGGTGTACGCAGATTCAGTCCCTAGATGTCGTTGACTTGCTGATGTAGGCACAGCATCGAGCTGTAGAGCAGAAAGTGCACTTCTTGAGCGGATACTAGTTATCAGACAGCTGTGTGCTGTCCAACTGAACGTATCTTTAAGGACTGGAAAACATAGTGGCGCTCTTCGATGTCTATTCGTAGTTTTCAAGTGCATATCAAACGAATGTAGTTAGGATAACGCAAAACATGATTTCTATCAAAAGCTATGAGTTTGACTACATGAGGAAAACATTCTGTGTGCAGAAGCCAATATACGTTATCTTGAACCTACTGCGACAGTAACTACCATAGGTTTAATCATACCAATTTTGTAGTATCTGGCTATTGTTTTTCCCGACCGATAGTTGCTACCTTGGCATGGTGGTCAGATGGGATATCACAATGACCCAACGAGATATTCTGGTCGAGTGCTTGTTCTATTGATATTCTAAGATATTAAAAAGGTCTTTTGGATAATGATAAGACAAAGCCAGTTACTGTCGTAGTGTAATTAGCTACGCTATGATTGGGGTTCGAATGTAAAATCATACAGCTGGTTGGACGGTAAAGCAATAACCGCGGATGACCAGAAGTACTGTGCTGATGAGAAAAAGGGAGGTTGAAAAGGTTGGTCCGGAATCACAAACTTCCCATGTGGTTTTTTCTTTCCGGAAGTATAGGTTTGTTGGTGAATTCCAAGCAGACAAACTTTAATCTGGGACTTCTAAAACGATCGTATGCGACAGAGCTAAAGCAAATATCCCTTGCGCTCTGCGATTACTGACCACTATAAGTAATGCAATTTGTTTTTCAGATGCCTTAAGAGAGGAAATCTTCCTCAATGCGAGCAGCCGGGAAGTTTTATTAGCCCTTTCAAGTCCATCAGCACTAAAGTTTCCTCAAATCATCATCAACCTTCGAAATCTCTACTTTCTAACCTTTCCTCCCTTCCTTTGGTCAATATTCACATCACTGTTAAATACTGCTCCTTCTGGAAGACGTGTTTGGAGAGTTATCAAAGATTAGTTCGAGCACATGGATATCTGTGCTTAAATGGATGCAATAAAAACCACAGCTTTCAAGAATGTAACTGGCTGTACGAAAGATGTTAGAAAGTTAAGCATTTATCTGAACATGACAGCAATGCTTGTGCTGTGGAAACCTTATGTGATATTAGATCTGCTGTGAAAACGTCAGTGAAGGCAATCGGCAATCTACACCATAGGGTTAGTAAACGTCATTAGATTTCCGCAACGTCATCGGAACTGATTGATACGAGGATTAATTCCAGTTGACTCTGACCATGATGAACAGCGAAAGCAACTGAAACATCGGTTGACCAAAAGTCTTCACAATGATTGCAAGTAGTGGTGGTTGGTGAAAGCGAGAGAGACAGAGACGGCATCAGCGTTGTGCAACACGCGGCAATTATTTATGCTTATTAAGGGTACCTGGAAAAAGAAGAGGATTATGAGTGAAACCATCATCGAAAAGGATGGGGCGCTGAAAACCTCTTATGACAGGTGGCTAGAACGTTGGACACGGCACTTTGAAGCAGAGTTCAACTGGCCCACAGAAGAGCTGCAGTCACCTAATATCCAACATGAACCTCTATAGGATGCAGATGCCAGTCCTCCAACTCTGAAAAGGCTGTATGGAACTTGAAAGCATGCAAAGCAGAAGCAAGACCTGATAGATTGTCATCTAAAGTTTTCAAGGATGGAGGTAGGAAACTGCTGATTCGAGCGATGGAGGTACTAGATAGTATCTGGGAATCAGAAGAAGTACCGTCAGACTGGTCTGCTTCTCTTATGATCCCAGTCTTAATGAGTGGGAAAAAAATATTCTAGTGACGATCATGGGGGAATTAGTTTGACCGATATTGTGTCGAGATCCTAGGGTCCATAGTGATCCGACATCGAACTGGAGCTCGAGAAAACAAGGGAGGTTTCACACAGAGCTAGACTAGGATGCATCAATCATACTTTTATCCTACAACAGGTTGTGGAATACAAGCACACCTACTGGCGAAAGGCCTTGCCTTATTTGTTGATCTGAAAGCGGCATTTGACTCAGTCGACTGTGAAGTGTTTTGGCTGTGACTGACTGTGAAAGAAGTACCGAGTTAGTATATGACGCTTATCAAGGCACTCTACTTGGACTCAAGCAGGCATGTATGGGCTTATAAAGAGCTGTCACGTAAATTCACGACAACTAACGGTGTCTGCTAGGGATGTTCAGTGTCACCGTTCCAATTTAACCTCATTATAGACATATTAACGGATATAAGGTTTTGCACCTGTCACTACACAGGGGGTGATCTACTCCCTGGATGTCATCTGGTTGACTTGTTGTATGCAGACTCTGTTGTTTTGCCAAATGATGCTGGAAAAACGAAGGGGCCTTCTCAACGCGTTTAGCAGAAATCTGAGTACGTGTGACTGGCATTAGTTTCGCACCCCTCAAAAACATAAGGTGATGTTTGCAGGACTGGTCTGGTGCAAGTACTCCTAGTTAAATGAAAAAGAGTGGAGTGGTCGAATGTGTCGATCGTGAAGCGACTACTGGATTTTGATGACAGATATTGTTCTAGCATTTCTTGCGTTTGATGGAACCACCGTGTGACAATGGTGCAGATGTATTTACTCCCTGACATCTTCCAAAGCTTGGATATTCGCATGGACCGTTGTCTTTGGATTGGTTATTCTCTCTCACACTTCATCTTTTTTATCATTCTTTTTCTAACCACCTGCTCTTTGTGTTCTACTGTGAATTGTGGCAACTTGAGCCGATGCACCATTGTACAAAGTTCTACATTGATTTTGTCAGTCAGTGTCAGTGTCCACCCAGCGACGAAGATTTACAAGCTGTAATATAAATACCACATCATACTTATCGCACGAGAAGTTGGTTTCTTGACTCGGTAGCTTAGTGGATGTCGCTCTAGCATTTGAAGCAACTGGTAGTGAGTTCACTTGTTACTGAAAACAAAATCACTCACTAGGTTGCAGATGCACCCAACTGATGAGTCCGAAATAGGACGAAGTGAACGTCCTGGACTCCACCATCATCCATCAACAGTATCCAAACGAAAAATTACGGCAGTATCTATGCATCTGGTCTGAGCAACTTACACAAATACAATCTATATCTAAATATCAACCTTTTACTCAGCGCCCAATACTTGCTATACTCTACAACCAAATCAGGAAATGTTTTTGTTATAACTTATTCGTGCATCCTGCACCATAGATTTTTATTATTACCTCTTGTTATTATCTGCGAATTTTGATCATCAGTACAAAGAAATACCTATTTCATATGCAAACATTTTCATCTCCAAAATTATTCACCTAATGAATTATAAAATTATAAAGCTTAATCTAATTCTAGATTCTATTCGCCATTTGGACGAGCGATGTAATGGCGTTAATAATACTGCATTTCTTTTTAGACCCATGGTTGAAAAGGTTTAACCAGAACCGAACTGTTTTGTCTACTCTTAACAGGATATGAAAGTGTAAAAATTTCAGTCAATTTGATGGGCTTACGATCTCACTTTTATTTTTGAAACATATTTAAAACAAGAACTTCGACAGCAATAATGTTACATTTATCAATACTCTATGCATGAACTTTCTGACCATTTTGCTTTGTGTGCTGTAAAATACCTAGACACTAAGTCGGAGAGGTTTTTGCAAGGATACTACCATGTACATTGCGTATCATTATTTTGTTTTCTGAATGAATCCTAACGTAAAAATAAAAGATTTTAAGTGAAAAATGTATTGATAGTCTTTTGATTATCATCCTGGAGACTAGAAGCGTTTATTCTCAAGCAATCTGAAGGATGCCTAGTTATATCCGACACATTGATTGCATAACATAAATCTGTGGGATAGCCATTGTTCAGGCAATCTAAAATAGAAAAAATGAATTATATTTATGTATTAATTAGTTTTTCATTAGTTAAAGATGTGATTACAAGGGAATTTTCTAGAACTGAGAAACATTTTTCTGCAGTATGATAAATAATGATGGCAATCTTCACTCAGACATTCAAACAACAGAAACTCAGGCTTAACAATAAATTTTGAATTTCCGCCTGATGACATTGCCTTGAGGTTTTAATTTAATCATAATATTGCATCATTCCACCGTGAATCTCCCTCCCGGTTAACTACGTTCTGGAATAATGTTCAATATATAGACTTAAGTTATCCTATATGAGAGTTCATTCAGCTCCTAAAGAACTAGTTCTTAGGATGAATGAATAGTAACTTACATTTCAATAAATGTAATCAAAATTCCCACGGTTGTATATGCATGTATGTTTCACACTGTAGAGCAAGTATTTATAATAGCTGAGGATATTTTACTAACAACTGTTCTCATTTCATCTCTTTATTTTCTGTATAGATCCTGAATTTTTATCTAAACGCTATCAAATTGGGCGGAAATTAGGTGATGGAAACTTTGCTGTAGTTAAATTAGGCAAGCGACGCGATACAAGTGATCAGTATGCTATCAAAATAGTCGACAAGAATAAGATTACAGGCAAAGAAGCAATGCTATTAAATGAGATACGCATATTGAATCACTGTTCCCATCCAAATATTGTGCGGTTGTATGAAGAATTCGAAACTACTACTGAAATATGGCTTGTAATGGAGTTTGTTACAGTAAGAATCATTTGTTTTTGTTTCTTGTATAAATTCATTTCGAAAAACACTGAAACTTAGATGGTCTTTTTGAGGTTGGTAAAGGGATCTCCAAAGACACCACTGATTCTCAGTGGTATTCGAAATGAAAGCGTAAGACAAAGAAGGAACATCAAATTAGATACTGAGTGAGGTCTCAGTTTTGTAGAAATGCCGTTAAATCCCAGATGCTGCAGTTCGCAAGCCACTTGGACCATTCACGAACAGCGAAGGGAAGTGTGATAACCTATGTACCATTAGTTTTTGACCGTGTACCATCAGCTAAACAAATCTGTTAAGACGATGAAGATTAACACCAGTGCTATTTGTCAGATTATAGGCTAATAATTTCAAGGATTTGCCTATTATCCGAAGCCAGAAGTCTTCCAAACATAATGTCTTCACGAAATACCATATGGATATTATTACAAGAGCTAAACTTAAGCACTGTGGTACAATGTAATTCCATTTTAGTATATTTATTAGACATATCACATAGCGGGACGATAACATATACTGGATTACCTTTTAGACACCTCATTAGGTTAGTTTTAGGGAATGTCACTACGCCTCAAGCCCAGCTATGCGCGAGCGTTTTTCTAGATTTGTCATCTTACTAGGATTTGCCAATTTTGACCTAGCTACGTTTTGTGCTGGGATAGCTTAATCAACCCTGGTCGACTACTTTTACTTATGTATTCGACTGGTCACAAAAACCTAGTTACGTCGAAAGCTGTAGATACTAGCAAGATAAGGAATTTAGAAAAAAAAGCTTGGCCATAGCTATACATTCAATTAAACACAGTCATCCAATGTGGTATAGGACAGAGACAGAGACTAGTAAGTAAATCTTTGTTTGTTGAATCAACGCCTAATACATGCACTAAGAATGACTAAGCACCTGTTTCGAATATATGAAACAGCCTACAACCCATATCACAAGGCAGGCGAGAAAATTGGAACTGTGTGAAACATATGTCAAACTTGGTTATCTTAATATGACTATGGACAATTAATTATGTTCCAAAAGTACTCAGGGATACAATATTACTTCAGTATGAGATAAACTAATAAATTAACTGAAATGGAATTGGATGGATATTACTTTAATTTGATTCCCGTTAGCATATAACACAAAATCTCTGCACTTTCATACTCTGTCTTCCTTTTCTTTTTCTGTTTCTTTTGCCTGATTTCTGTCATACTTACATCTCAGTACTTTTCAATTTGAAGTTAAACATTATGAGGTTAGGTTGTACATTGAAATAATGGTCAAGATTTTTATCTGTGTTTCATACTTTTGTATGTGTTGTGTTTTTATTTAGTTTTTTGGTAATCTCAGTACCATAAAATTGGATACTCAATTATTCGATCCATAATAGTTCACTTATGCTAAAAATGTCAAAGGCAGAGTAACTGCATTTGATGTGTTACTCTCTACAGCTTTCATAATCTCAGCATGAATGAACCAATAATTAGTAGTGTCAACAAACTTTTCTGAAATTCAATAAATGTAGAAATTAAGCGAATACTTGAATAACTCAGTATAAAGGAAACATTATTAAAACATTTTGATAATCACTTATAACTTACTTCATATAAATGTAGAAACAGCTATTTAACAATGGTAGATTATTTTGCGCATACTTTAACTGAGATACTACATGATAATGGGCTGTAAACTACAGCAATTTACTTACAGCTAACACTCGTATGTTGGCTTATTTACAGAGATTACTCTCATCATCACTCTTCATCCCAATTACTTCAAAATAGTGTTATCAAGATTAAACAGCTTTTATTCAACAGTAGTGTAGGAAATGAACCAAATTAAAACTTTCTGTATACATCTCATACCTAGCGGTTGGAAACTTAAAATGAACAGTCGATTGATTGTGTCTAACAGTTAAAATAGAAAGCAAAATAGAAGGTTTATTGTCATGGAATTTAGTAGAATTTTAGCTGAATCGATACTTATTGAAAGTTTCAGAGGAGTTGTTGTGCTAGAATATTCAGTCAAGTGATAACTTTCATTTATAAGCGTTACTCATAACCATGGTCATAGTACGGACATCCAAATGGAGTCAGAGTTTGTCGGTTCAAAAATGTTTTAGCCTTAGATCATCGATATTCATTATTTTGATATTTATATATGGTACTTATATTTTAGTTTCTAATGAATTCAGATACATAGAAGCAATTCTATTTCGTTTTGACCCATGTGAAAACAAAAATGCTAAAATCATGTTATTTTCACTTAGGTATGTTTCCGACTTATTTTCCTTTCTTATGATCGATAAAACTGTTATTCAATGTCAGATTTTTTGAAAAAGTGAATGTAGTGAGAGATTTTTGACCATTTCAAATAAAAAGTAGCTTTAGAAAGGGTTATGAGGTATCCTAAAACTACTGAATAAGGCTAAGTGCACTTCAGAGTTACTAAGTAGAAATACCAATAAATTTCAAACACTATGTAACGTTTTATAGGACCCTCTAAGTTTCTAATAAAACTAAGTGCACTAATTTGAGGGGTGGATTTTGTAAAAAAAGTTTTCTTCAGATTTCAATTTCGTCAATGCTTTGTTAAGGGAAAAGATGTAAGATCATTCAAATAGTTGTCTAAAATTGTTTCAACTCTTCAGATTCAACTGTAGTGAAAGTGTAGTATATGATAAACAGTTTTTCAACTTAAAAGTTATATTTCTTTGCCACAGATGATATACGATTCAATGATTAGGACTGTGTTATGGGATAGTATATCATGGTGAGGCTTTTTGAGGAAATTTCAATCATATTCTAAGTGGTGTACATGAATACTTTAGGGGGTGTGAATCTCATAAGATCAAATGTTCAGTGTTTTTGCACGTTATTTTATGTTTAAAATGGATTGGATAACTACACTTCTTCGTTTCTTTTAATTAAAAAATTGTGGCGCTTTTGAATTTCTGTAAACAAAGTTAATTTAGGAGGTATGAGCCTGTCGTTTCGATAAGTAATTTGAGACATTACAAACTATAATCACAGAGCATTATTTGATAATCTAGCCTCCGTAAACATTCTGTATGCTTTTTGTTTATAGTACATGTCTGCACTATTGCAAAAGATAAAGTTACTTATCGACTGATGTAATAAGGTTTTCCAATCTGCATTACCTCTTATCTCTCCTCGTGAACATTTTGGCTGTATAAGTTTCGTTAAATAACTCACAGTAAAGTAAGAGATTTCTTCACCAATAAGAAGCAGTAGCCCTTAACTATTGATAATTACACTTGCCTGAGAATGATTGTCATCTGCCGATACTACTATACTGTTTATTTTCATGTCCGGTAGTATAAGTCTACTCTTGTACAGGTTATTAGGTAGTTGGAGGAATCAGCTGATAAAATCAAAATTTTTGACGGAACTATGATTTATCCATTTCATTTCAGATACTTTCACAATGATTAATATTCACTATACCTAACATTATCAGCATTTATGAACATGTTCGTCCATATATGATACTTTTATGTAAAACAAAATAGATATTTTAATGAATTACAACCTCTGCACTTTTATAACAATCAGAAAAAACTATAGATGGGGCGAAATATTATGAATTCGGATTGTTTTACTTCAGATTTCTTTTCGTTTAAATTACGTCTCCAGGCTGTAACATTAGTCAACAGGCCATCACTAAAAGTTTATAGAATATTACCATCGCGTTTCTGTGAAACAAACCGTATAAAAACGTGTTAATGAATGGAAATCGATTTTAATGAGAGTGTAGAGTTAATTCACCAGACTTAAAGTTGTACCTTTTTTTCATATAGTAGCATCTTAGCATCTTATTTAACCTGTGACTTATTATTTACTTCATTTTATTTCAATAGGATGGAGATTTGTTCGATGGAATCACTCAAGCAACTAAATTCACAGAGCCAATAGCAGCTGGGATAGTATCAGATTTAGCTAGTGCCTTATTTTATTTGCACTGTCGATCAATAGTTCATCGAGACTTAAAACCAGAAAATGTACTAGTAGGTTATCACTTTTTGCCTTTTTTTAGTGTTCAACTTATTTTCATGATTACAATACTGGTTGTATTGTTTTGATGCATTCAATATTTTCTAGAGCATATAGGTTTTATTTTGCTACTGATGAGGATATATTTAAGTAGTATATAGTGCAGCATCATGGGTAGAAGTGAACGATGAACTGCTGGGTGCTCTGAAAAGTAAATTTAGGTGAAATAGTCATATATGTACAAAAACAGAAGATCAATTAGAAAGAAGCTGACTGAGGATGCAGTTAGAGGATGAACTCAAAATATATATACAAGAAGTATATTTATTGCAGTTTTCATATTTTATCATTAATAAATGGAATGGCCTAATAAACAGTTATTAAAGTGCTCACCATTGTTTTTTCATCACTACCCATTTAAAGACAGTTCAAAAGTGTATGGTTCAAATAAGACAAATGCCACCTGTCTCAATACGAAAAAGCCAAAGAATTCATGTAGACAAAATGCGTGATACTTAGTTGATGTTCATTTCTCAATGTGAAACTTTTGAAGATAAAATCAAAATACAACAGCCAGTAGATAATATTGTATGCAAGTAAAAGTTATTGTTGAATAATAATTGCTAACCTTCAATTTGGATAGAATTTTTCTTATATCTTACTGTAGTGGGCGTTGGTAATAAGAATGGATATAAGTAGGATATGTTGAGAGCGTGGCAGAAATCATAGGGAATTACCAGCAATGAGTAAGGATTCTGCCAAGAGAAACGCGAGGGACAACGCAGCCGTATGAAGAGCAAATTGAAAGAGAAGCAGAAGGGGAAATGAAGCCCATTTTGCAAATGACGGATTTAGTGCAAGGTGTACCATATTTAACGATTATTGCACCACTTGTTGACAATAAACGTTTCTTCCTTTGTCTTGATCTTCTCGTTACCTTTCAATTAGTGTCGCTGCTTCTTGACGTGTAGGAGATTCCGTGGCCTGCAGTGTTTGACAATAAAGACACCAAGATCTTTCTCAGGGACTTCGAGTCTGTAGTGGAGCTGGTGGGTGTTCGGGATCCAGGAGCGAATGTTGTGGTGCCTGGTAGGTTGCTGAGGGGTAGGACAAAAGCAGCGTACGACGGCGTGGAACGTGGAGATGAGAAGGAGACTTGGCAGAGAATGGTTGAAAGCCTGGAGGCGAAGTTCGACAGCCCAGCCGACTGGGACCTGATGATGCAGCAGTTCCGGAGCACGAAACTTGGATTGGAAGATCCGCTGGTATTGGGTATGAAGTTGAATAAACTACTTCGACGAGTACTTCTCACGTTGGATGAGGATTCCCAGGAGCAGTTGTTGGCTGCACAGTTCACCGAAAGTGTCTCGAATGCCGTCGTCCAGCAGCTACGACTAGTCAACGCAGCAAAACCAGTGGATTTCTGCGAGATAGCCAAGGTCACCAGACAGCTAATGAATACAGAAGTAGCTGCAGTGGAGTCACTAGAGGTAAATAACTGGAAGAGCAAATCGACAACCTCTGAATAAATTTCAACAGACGCCGGCAAAGAAACTTCCCGGAAGGGCGAAAGAGAAAACATATTCAACCATATATTGTGTTGTGTTTTTCCGACTAGACCAGATATTGTACGAGCCATAGATCCAGGTGTTGTGTGTGCTAGAATGCAAATAAATGGTCGGGAGATCGTGTTTCTAATCGATACGAGGTAGGCAGTCTCACTGATAGATAAGAGTCAGTCTCAAAACATAAGACCATGTGCGCTAACGGTCCACACGGTTGGAGGAAATGCATTAGAAATCGCAAGCTTATCAGACTGCGTCGTCGAGATCAGAAGTCAGAAAATTAGACTTCCATTTATCGTGACCACGAGTTTACAATGGCTAATCCTAGGTGCTGATTTTCTGAGGAAGGTGGACACAGTTATTATCACGAGAACAGGAATAGGGGCGACGAAGTACGGGTCATTCACCACGCAGGGGAACAGTGAGGTAGCAGAGATTGAGGTGAGGTATTAAAAGCACCACGCCAAGAAGTGCCAAACGTCATGAAGTTGGTTAAGAAATACGACAAACTGTTCACGGGAGATGTGGACCCCCAACGGATACTGTGACAAGGTTGAGCATGAGAAACTTGTTGCCCTATCTTTGCTAAAATGATTTAGGTTACATAAGATTATAAATGAAAGTCTCTGAATGCGTTTCTCGTGACAATCAAGGCAGTATGGTCTGACTACTGAAATAACATATATATATATATATATATATATATATATATATATATATATATATATATAGAGAGAGAGAGAGAGAGAGAGAGAGAGAGAGGGATATAAGATGTTGAAGATGATGTATTCTAACTGAAATTGGAAAAAAAACATTACTTTTTATGACTTTAGGTAGTGTAATTAGTAACAGTGTATGTGAACAATGTGGTGTATTTGCACAATACATTTTGAGCAATCTGACCACACACTTACTTGTCTACTCAGTTTATATCAAACCGAAGGATAAGAGAATTAAAAGAACAATTGATATAATAGGAGATTTAAATTGAATAAGACGAGGATAAAAAGGCACAGTGACATAGTTGATCCTTATCTGAAATTACCAAACAATAGGTTTGAAAGCTGTAAAATATACACTGCATCTACGTATGCATATTCCAGCTGTCAAGTATTAACTATTACTTTTTACAACCTGAAACATAATTGAGGGAATTCTGACCGTGACTGGAATCGAAATAGCGACCATTGAGTTTCTTGCTCCGTGCTCTACCAACCGAGTTACGAAGCCCGATTACTGACCAGATTTTTATTTCACTTCGGTCATCACCTAATATAAATACTAGTCTGTCAAACCACGATAGACAGTTAAAATGATAATTGTGAAAGTTATGCTAAATACATTTGTCGAAAATATGTTATGATCAAGTTCGATTTTCGTTTTAATTATTTGCATTGTTTTTGTTTTATCAAAGTTGTTACGACAGAAAAATGGTCAAATAAGAGTGAAACTTGCCGATTTTGGATTAGCAATAGTTGTAAAAAGAAACATGTATACTGTATGTGGTACTCCAACATATATTGCTCCTGAAATCCTCGAGGAATCAGGTAATGCTATTTTACGACAACAATTTATATTGGAGTAAATTAAGCCCATATACCAATAGAGGTCAAACAATTCGATCCAATAAAACAACGGAGAACTACAAGTATATCAATAAATAGTAATAAATTGAAAATGTTTTTTTAAGAGTTGCGATTATTGGGAAGATCAAATGAAATAACACCGGAAACAATTAAGGATAAAAATAAAGTGATAAGTATATGGAGTCTTTGTCTCTACATTGACCTCAATTTATTTTAGTCTTGGTATGCTTCTAGTTAGATAGTGGCTAGCAGTAGGATTCAGGATGCGCATTTCGTCCTATTCGGGACTCGTCAGCTGGAAGTACCTGCCTCCCAGTGTATGATGTTGTTCCCACCGAGGTTCCGACTCGGGGGCTATCGCTTTGAATACTGGAGCATTATACATTACATCACCGAGCTGTGCGACGGGTATAGTTTCAGTGTTACCGCTTGTATTATACCGTCGTTGATTGGACCGAATTGACTGGTCCGGGTAGGAACAACATCACTCACTGGGAGGCAGGTACATCCAGCTGAAGAGTCTCAAATAGGACGAAATGCGCATCTTGGACTCCACTGCTAGCCACTATCCATCTTTACTAGAACTACACAGGTATATCGAAGCATCCGCACAGGAGCCCATATGCCAATAGAGATCGATCAATTCGGACCAATCAACGACGGTATAATACAGGCAATAACACTTGGTGTGCTTCGTTCCTTCTTCGTTTTTCACCGCACCCCCTTTTTCGTCAAATTAATCTTTGTACTCTTACATCGTCATAATCACTTCATTTTTATATTTAATTGTTTCCAGTGTTATTTCATTTGATCTTCCTAATAATCGCAACTTTTACCAAACATTTTCAATTTAATACTATTTATTGATATACTTCACCACATTATGTAAAACATAGTTTTATTCAGTGACAGGAAAGGTACTTAAAAGTACTGAATAAAGCTTTAGAGAGCATCTATCTAGCAGTAATGTTTTGAACCAAGTGGTGTTTCCAATTCACCTCAAGTGGTAAACTTGCACTCGGTTAACACTTTGTCTTAAATGCACATATCACTCACGCAATGAGTCATACAATTCTCCCCTTTCAACCTTGTATAATCGAACGTAAAGTTTGATGACCATTGTCCTTATATTTCAGTGATTACAGTGATTTATATTTACAGCTAAATTAACAAGCCACGACGTATAATCGTTTATAAAAATAACAAAAATTGATTTCACTCACAAAAAATGGAATAATCCACAATAACTCATTTCAGTCAACATACAATTATTTCAGAATCAGTAATGCAAATCGAATGGACATGTGTAGGGCATCAATAAAATGCTTATGAGTTGAGTTATGTAATAATTTAGTCAAATATGTGAGAAATAAAATACATTTTAAGATAATAAAGAAATCATGAGGTTGCTAATTTGTATTTACTCTTTTTCCTCCAGTCAGTTATCACGGCTCTATACTAAATATTTACATATATATTCCTATTATTTACTATTTTTAACAAAAAAATTAAACGGCAGCATTCAGCTTACCTTCATATATATGTAAAAGAATATATCAAAAGGCTTTACCTGAAGTAAGAAACCTACAGTAGGTTTTACTAAAATATAAGTACCACATACAATGTTTGAAAAATTGTTGACTTTTTTGTTGAATCGACAAAAATTGTATGATTCGTGCATATAGTAGTCAACTCACGATAATTCATCTCGAACAAAAGAGCTTACTCATTACTCAGTGCTACTCGTTAGTCAAAAGCTTTTTGAGTTAAAGAAATTTAAGTCACTGAAAGCACCTCATACTGTTCGAATTTTGAATAATTAAAAATATGATGATTCAGTGTCCAGTATACTCTAGGAACACAATTTTCTAGTTATCTCACTTGATCAATGCAAAAATATTTATTTTATCTAACTTATCTTTTCTTAAATTAGGTTACGGTATAGAAGTAGATATGTGGGCACTGGGCATTATAACTTACATTATGTTGTGTGGATTTGCTCCATTCCGTAGTCCCGATAAAAGACAATCAAAGTTATTTGAAAGCATTAAACGTGGTCGTTTTGTATTTCTCAGTCCTTATTGGGACAATATATCATCATGTAAGTATTTCTACTTGACTATGGATATTTCATTACACGGATATCAATATATAGTGATAATAACACAATGATTACTCTTAAAAATTGGAATATTATTGCATATCATAAAGAAATTCTACATTTCATTTATGCAGTCTTAAATACTTCTATTTAACTCTGACTTTTGTTTAAATTTCTGTAAACAGAGAGAACGAGACGATTTTCAGTAATCTGATGTAGGTATTTATTGGAAAGGAAATAATATCAGAAGTAAACCTTCTACCATTTTATATAGTAAAGTTGACTGCACTAGGTGGGTCCTAGTGTAAGGTTCAATGATATGTTTATCCTTGTATATTTATCAAGGTTGATCAGATTATATTTGAAACTGTTTTAATAGCTATCAAAGTTGACATCAGTGAGCTTATTCACTGAATAAGTGGTTCAGGATAGCTCGTTCAAATAACCATAACAGAAATATAATACATGATAAATGTGCTCCACTTGCATTTAAGTTACCTGTATCATAAATAAAGAGAAGTGGTGAAGTTATCTTTATATGCTAAAAGCAATGGTAGAATATGAGATAATACTTATGGGCTTTATTTTGAAATGAATAAAAATTATTTCAAATACTTGAAATATAGAGAGTTTAAATATACTTTACATTCTGTCAGAAAAATGAAATCTGTAAAACGCCCAATTGTTCATTGTGACAAAATACACGATACAATGTGTGCTGACTTCATGAAATGTTCTTTCATATGTGTTCATTTTTTTCTGAAAGGATTTATAGAGTTTGGACGCTGTGTTAGAGTATAACTCCGTACTAGACTGGTCGATTTAAATAACACAGAGTGATACAGCATTTATCATCAGTTAACAACTCCTGAACTACATTGTCAGCTTTGACGATTCCTGTACCATTGTCTTTTCTTAAATTACTCAAGTAAAGTATTTTCTACTTTGTTGGATTTCATCTATCCGTATTTTACTGCTTTAGCGCTAATGTATACTGTATTCGAACCACTTCAACAATTATCTACTGACTCTAAGTCTACTTTAAGATATTAACAAAAATTTCTAATTTTTAGCTTGTTTACTGCTACTTTGAGGTTTAATGTTTTCATTTCAGACTGATGTTTAAAAATTGAGAAGTTGATTACCAACTTTGTTCTATAGGTTCTTGATGGTTTCTACCTAATAACACTGTATCATTGTGCATTATATTGAATAAATTAATCTAGTAGAATTCATAATTATTATTTTGTCTGAAAATCAAATGAAGAATATTATGAAGTTGATGAATAAATATACTCATTGGTTTAATTTAAAGAAATATGATAGCCCAATATTTCAGTAAAATTAATTAATTCTTAAAGCATACTTAAAAAGGTGATTTTTTTTTCTAGTTTACGAAGGCTTATTTAACAATCACGTATGAACAGTTTATACATGAACTAAAAGTACAACTAATGTTTGATAATGAAGAAATCATAAATAAAGAATAACGAACAGGTTTTATAGAATTCACAGATTATTTTGTTAGTATAGTTTTATCGACCAGAAAGAAATCACTTATATACCAAGGCCTTAGATCATACTGGTTGTTGGGTTCACCAGTAACTTAAACATCTATAAAACGTTTACTAAAGTTTAATTCCGATTTTTTTATTTATCTGTTTGGATATACTTTAATGAATACATCAGTGAAATTTATGAACAGCAGCATATTCTAGATTGTACTCAATAGTATTTGAGGCTGGCCGTCTAATAAAGCTCTTCCATTTGAAACGTGTAAGGGTTATTTTGAGTTCATACACCGCTATATTCTTATCACGGCGAGATATCCGTTTATTTATCAAGGAACAAGTATACTACGCCGTGGTCCATTCTGTCCTGCTGTACACCTGAGATATGGCCGTTAAAAGTAGAAGGTTTGAGAAGTTTACATGGTTTTGACCATAGGCGTCTTTGTAGCATTGCTTGCGTGTTGTGGAAAATGTTGAAGTCAGGCGAACAATAATATAGAAGACAGACAAGGCAATTGTTGAGGTTGTGAACCTCAGTCGATGGAGACGGCGTGGACATGTACTGAGTACGCCTAGCCACCACCTACCTCAAAATGCCAAGTTAAGGAAGTTGGGTTAATTCGAAAGAGTTCAGGGTGGTCAGACTAAGATGTGACACCACTCCATACAGTCCTTATTGTTGGTTTGAGATGTATGAGGACAAGTAAACTGGTTGGTCATGGTCCTCTAGACGTGTGAAGTCAGTGGTTAAGGGCTCTTGTTGAGATAGCTAAAAATGGGTTAGTTTGTGAGATCTTCTGAAGCTTGAATACTCGCACTAACCTTAATCTTCCGATTGTTTATTCTATAAAACTACTTTATCTACTTTGATATCGCTCTTTTTCTATGAACTTGTCCTTTGTTTAATTTTGTGACTTGAATCGATGCACCTGTGTGCGAGGTTCTAGGTCAATTTTGTCAGTCATGTTCTTAAGGCACTTTAAAAATATGGCAAAATAAACAATATGTACGACTTCAATAATATCGAAGTCAGTTGAAGCTTTTAATTCGGTGTCTTTTCATTTTTCTCCCTTTTTTGCCGAATGCACAGACAAGGAAGTCAAAAATATTCTGTCATTTTTTTCAGTCACTAAAAATCTCAGAGCAGTGGGGTGATATTCACAGTACGACTATTTAAAACACTTATCTCTTAATGACCAATTACTGATCTCAACAGTTCGTGTACTTTGCTCTTTTTTACCGTGCCGATGGTGCCTTTGAATCAATAACTAAGTAGTTAACGGTAACAGCAGGATAACTAGATCACCAATATCTTGTTTTTTCGTGCAATGGTTAGACTTCATGAACCTATAAAGCAGACTAGAGCTATTTTTATTTTGACCAAATCATGTATTAATCTATGGTTATTTAAGGTTATCTCAAATCAGAAAACGGCTGCACACTTGCATTTACTTTTCTGTCATCGTAAGACTAAGAGAGAAGCCTGGTTATTTCATGATGTAGTTTTAAGTAATTATCATTTCGGTGTGTACATTTCCCAATAACGTACACTGATGAGATTGTTTCAGCTATATTAGATTTGATTACGCTATCAATTATGATTTGGGGGGAAAAAGGTAATTACTGAGACGAAATATAGGGGGAAATCCGTAGAGATTCACTAGGCCACTATACAGTAAATCATTTACTATGGCAATTATTTATAAAGCCGAAATGAGATGAAACAGAGGACTCATACTGTTAACCTTGAACTAAAACGATCTGAAAAAATTCCGTCCTTTTTACTGCATTTGTAACTCAATTAGTGTATTTAGTACATTCTCTGTGACCCCCCTTCATATGAGTTTTGCATTAGGTACTAGGTTTCCACACCGAAAGTACAGATTTAGCCATCAATTTACAAGGCAAGGCCTATTTAAAAATTAATTTAAGTGAAACCTTGAACAAAACCTACATTTCCTTGTAAATTCGTAATCTACTTACCTTAAATTACGACTTAGAGTTTTCCATTTGGATACTGTTGTGAATCATCGATAATTTTATAATTTGGTACAATATAAGCACTTTTCGTAAAAGTCTCGTAAACGTTTTCTGAATACTTTCTTCTAGTTTACATCTAAATAAGAACTGAGCACACCTAAGACCAACTTCTTAAATCGTCAAATATTATGAGCAAAAGTTAAAATATTAATTTCAGTCTAATATTATATCATTAGGTAACTGCCGTAATATTCGTAAAACGTAAATAAATAACACTTTTTAACTTATGCATAAATTTTGTAAATACAATTCTTCTTAGTGTTATTAGTTTTAATATGTCAAAAACTACACCATATGATCAGAAGGTGAATATTATTCATATTCAGTGTATAGGGATTCTGAACACTTTATATAAATTAGACTTTGAAAAAGAATTATTCATATCACTTATTCATTTGATGCACTTTTTTCTATGTTCTCTTTCTTTTTGTATCCTATTTAGATGCCAAAGATCTTATCAGTGCTTTATTAGTCATATCACCTAAATCTAGATTAACAGCTCGTGAAACGTTGTCTCATCCATGGGTATTTGGCTTAGGTTCACCTAATTCAACGGATGACTTTGAACAACGTCGATTAGATTATCGGAAAGAATTGGAAGAAAAGCATAATGGAGTGAAATATTCAGGTAATGAAAACATTTCAGGGGATTTCTTTGGTAATAAAATCACTAAAAATTATGATAATTTTAAAAAGCTAGAAACTTCGAAGTATGCAAAAATGAGAGAAGTACGTAATTAAATACTTTATATATATTTCAATCAGTTCAACTGAGGAATATGAGAAAGCATTTATTACTGTTCCCATTTCTGTGTATTACTGTTTATTCCCATCCACCGAAGAGATAAAAGGTAGATGATTTCAGATTTGTAACAATGGAATAGAGTTTCTCTCCTATTGTTCTCCCAATCTATCTCTATTTTTATTCCTTTACTTTTACCATGTCTTTCATGCAGTCATCAATGGTGATTGAATATTTTTTTATTATTTACTCTTAGGGAAGAGATTAGCTGATCGATAATGATATTCTATTTTGTAAACAATACATTTATAAACAAAAGTTGTATAAATAAAATTAGACATTCTAATGTGCTTCCTTCCACTAACACTTATAATGTATTCATGGCATTACTGTATCACTGACAATTAAATTATTTAATGATTCTCATTGTGTTTCCATAAGCATATATATATATACTGCTACCTGTTCTGTCCCTTTTATAATGTTCATATATCTTCCCCTATTTGTTTGCCATAATCGCTTGTGTATGTCGATGAACTATTTTTGTCTGCTATCACAATGATCTCATTTTGATTCAGATCATATTACTAGATTGATAATATAAAAAGAACTTTCATTGTTCTTTATCACCTCCTGTTGTTTTCAGTTTTTTTTTATCATGTCAGTCAGTTTTGAGGAAATATTGATTCATCAAATAATCAATAGAATTCGGTTATCATTCAGGATTAGATAACATGAAATTGGTTACTCTCCAGTGAGATCAGTCGTAGCCCAAATACCTTATTGGTATCGTCGCTGATTGTGACAATGGATGATGCGTATTCAAATCTAAACGGGGACAATATGACACTCGACGTTGCAAATACGCCTTGCTCACGAGTGCCGACAAGCACGAAACCTAGTTCTAAGGCTTCCTGTCGATTGTCTCCAACGAATTTACATATTGCCTAATTAGAAATCGACTATTAGCAAACAGATATCAAATACTATACAGACAAAGTAAACATCAAAGAGTGATACTGACGATTGTTTTATTTATATAAAAGGTTTAAGAAATAAGTGTTCTTATTCTACCCGATGATTGTTCATATTTCTAGAAGATAGATTTCATCTATTCATACTTTTTAGGTTATTACTCAAGTTGCTGAATGACTGTTTCACTTAATTGAATTTTGATTTCTCTAGAGGATGATATATTTATAGGAATTATTTCCCTTGAGTAATAATTGTTTCATTCATTCAATATAGGTTGGTCAAATGTTGTGTACCAACTGCTTCAAAGTCAGTGTTGCACAGAAATCTTCATATATATATATATATATATATATATATATATATATATATATATATATGCAGAAAATAGTCGCAACAAGGATGCAGAATGAAATGAATTTACTTTATTCTCTGCTTATAGTGAACTCTTGCGCTTACTTGTCTTGATGATTTCTTCTGGTTTCAATAGACCTTTCTGTTCGACTGTAAATTCAGAAGTGGTACTTTATTCTTCAGTTAAAAACTAGTTTTTAATTGAATCAGAATAATCATCTGTGGGATGAGCAGCAAATAGTCATTTTTGAAATAAAAAACCTTCCAAAACCATGTACAGGTAGATCTTTTGAAATTCCAGAAAGTATATTGTGAGGAACCAACAAGAAGATAACAAACAAGTTTCAAGATTATGTTGTGAAAGACAATAAAAAATGGTTTAGAAACGGACTAAAAAGGAAAATGTTCAGGTTATTGCAGTTTGAAAGAAGGTTCATAATGAATGTATGTGCATCACCAATTTATTCTACGAATGCTATTCGTCCTCTTGCTAACATCAGCCACAATTTGTAGAGATGCAATTTCGGCCAATTCATCAGATTTCGCCACATACTTTCCAGTCTTTCTTGATGTTTTTAAAGTTTGTCTATACATTAGTTGATACTGGGTGATGATCGGAGGTGAAATGAAAATTCGGACCTCAGAAGGGGTTCGAGTCAGCAGCCACCAGATTTCCGGCCCGATGGTCTACCAGCTGAGCTACGAACCTATAAACCCGGTGGTCGCTGGTTCAAATCCCACTGTGGTCGAAATTTTCATTCTACCTGCAATCATCACCTGCAATTATCCGTACCAGTCTGCTAAACCACGGCTATTTCAGATAGTCAAAATGATATTACACCAGTTAATACCACTTAGAAGGCAGGCTTACAACCCAATTAACTGATAAATTTTCTTTACCCATCGTAGTTAAGGTGAGTGAGATCACTGGATCAATAAAATACAAGTTCTGTATTAAGTCTTTCAAAAACCACACCGTCTTTGTAATAATTATTTTACTCATGAAATATGAGTATAAATTGTTAAGTCTCTTTTGTTTCTAAAAAAAAAAAAGAAAAACCTATCCTATTCAGCGATGAAACAACTTATAGCGAACTGAAGTATCAGTTATGATTTCTTCATAGACTTAATAAATTTTAATCGTATTTCACTGAGAAAAAATATCTAGTAATTTTGGTTGTTATGCAAGTAATCTTATTACTTCTGGAAAAATGAAACATTTGCATGATCGTGGAAATAAACACTGTATAGGCGAATACGTTACACTGTTGATAGTGTTCACCACTTTAAATGGCTATGGATACATATGCACATTCAATATTGATCGTACTATGCAACTGATGAAGGGGTAAAACGAACATAATTGACTTCAAAGCTAATAGAATCTAAAACTTTGATAAGCGCAGGTGAAAGACCACCATCATCCACACTGAAACATTTTAGAAACAGGTCAAAGAATTATTTTTGAAACAGCGTTTAGAATTTCATATAGAGACAGTCTAGACTGTATATTCATTTTTGTGGAGTGACTTTAAAGGTCACTCTAGCAACCACCAAATTAACCAATCAGACTACTGTATTTTGTGAAAAGCAGCCTTTCCGGTCGAAATGAAGAGACCTAATTGGTTATTTCGACCGTGGCTTCTTAAGTCGCCTGACTTTATAGGCCGCCTAAGCAACTGCTTCGTTATTTCGTTTGGAAAAGTACTTTTCTATAAAATAAAGGAATGTAATTTTGGCATCTCATCAGTTGTTAGCATGGCCTTACACGTTACCCTTTTTTTGTGAATTAATCATAGGAAAATTGAAGCCACCCTCTCATGTACAAAATCTTTATCTCTTAATTCTTTCTCCCTCATACACCTTTGTGTATGTTGATATCAGTCTTTCCTATCCACCTGTTTTGTTCCATATTACTGTGCATTGCGGCAACTTAAACCTATGTACAAGCCTATCTTGGTAAACATTACGTGCTAATACTACTCAGACAAAGATTGCGACGTGTTACTCTCCCTTTATCGTATTTCTCAATTTAGACCCTCAATTAGCATAACTGTTTTATTCGTCATCTCGTTTTCTCGGTTCAGTATAAATTTCTATGATAAATAAATGTGTGATCAGGCTACAAGAAATGCCTTTACAAATACATCATTTTATTCAGATTAACTTCGTCTTTTGCTTATGCTATTCAACGCTTTCCATGAATTTTAATCAGAGTTTAAAAAACGTGACTTTTTTAACGGTTAAGTAGACTTTAAAGTTGTGATTCATTTGAATGTTGGTGGTTGGATACTTGTTTAGATCATCCCTTGAATACATCTTACATGGTTGCATACAACATAATTAAAAAATGAAATAAAAACTAAGGAGAGATTTATGAGATCACTTTACCATATCCCTTAGTTATTGTAACATATATAGATGTGCGAGTGGTACACATTAGAGTTTCTTGGGGTCAAGTATTCTCATACAGTGTCAAACGCTGATTTCGCTTGAGCACCGCACTAAGAATCGTGTGCTTTTGTTGATGAACTACAGAATTAGTTCATGTTGGTTTAGTAACACGTGATTTAGGGGTATCAGTAAACTTTGACCTCCGTTTCGGACAACACCTTTAATAGTGCGTGAGGATCGAAATTTATGCTGTGTAGCAAAATGACATAGGGCCCTGAAAAAACGGATTCTAGTCAGATGTTGGATAAAAGTGAAGAAGCATGTAAAAAAACTGACATTTCTTTGCAGATTGCACATGATATTTTATTCCAAAAATCCATTTCCTTACTTTTGTTAATATCTTTATTCTAATGAATGCATGAACTGATCAAGATAAATTTAGATGGGATGAACTTTGGGTGGTCCTTTGGTTTTCTCACTAGTCCAGCCAACATAAATATAATTTAAATAGAAAATGGAAATTATTATGGTGGCAAAATGAAGACCACTTAGTATCTCAAAGAAATGTTTATTTTGGATTTACTGTTACCATAAGTGTAGGTAACATACTACATAGCAAGTGAGAGATATCGAATATTTAATAATCAATCATCTTTCTCCTTAAACAGCACTATGGTCTGATAAAATGGAATTATTTTCTCTTACTTCAAAGTAAAACACCAATAAAAGCTGAAAAATTTATTGTTCTGAAGAAGAATGACTTTTCCATAAATTTAACCGCAAGATTTTCTTTCTTTAAACGGTATGTTAATTGTATATTAATCTCAGTTCAAAAATAGTTGATCAGAGTATTTCACGCTTGTCAGCAGTTCAACATATTGTATTACTGTACCTTTATTCAGGACATAGTGATGGCAAATTTATCATGCTGTTTTCAATAGAATTGTTTTAAACTTTTATGCTCACGTGATCAAGGTTGATTATTCGTCTAATTGTTAGGTCATTTTGTCACCTATACAACAAGATAGTGTTACCAAAATTTTAAAGTACGAGTTTTTATCCTTAAACATAAATTACTAACTTTTGAGGGAGTTGTGGAGATTTGGAAATATTTCAAGTTGTTATTCATCGTAGACTGACATCAGTTGGAGGAACAAAGGAAACCTGGGAGCACTGGACAGCTGTTTGGACACACTAGTATGGGGCTCCTCAGCAGTGCACACCCACGACCCCGCCCTCCAGGGATCAAGCCCGCGACCTTCAGGTTCCGCGGCCAGCGCGTTACCATCGGTCGTGGGTGCGCACTGCTGAAGAGTCCCGTACTGTCTAGTGCTCCCAGGTTTCCTTTGTCCCTCTAACTGATGTCAGTCCACGATGAATAACAACTTGAAATAAATTACTAACGATTCACTTTCAACCGATGTGTTGAGATTACATCTGTTCTCCAAGTTTATTTAGTATCTGTATGCATATGGACATTAAATTTCATTGCCATATTATCAAGGCGTTAAGTTTAACAGGAGGTAGTTTTAGCATGAAGGTTCAAACTTTGCAAATATTTTCATACTCTGTTTTTCTCATCTGAGCCTTGATTATTCAATCTATGATGAAATATGGGATGAACTTAAATTAACAAATGTTTCAGCAGTTTTAAACAACGAATTAATGGTGGCCACCAGTGGGATCATCTTATCTGTGACTCAGCTGTACTCATGTGTATCCTACTGAGTGATGATCCTTTCACTAAGAATCAAGCGGTGGAATGTTATCCGCTAAGCTAATGAGTTAAGAAACTAAAACTACCGGCTATATTGAGGGATATGCATGGAGGCCTATTTACCACTAGTAACCCAACAATTGGGTCCAAACAAATCAATATTAAGAAGTGATAAGTCATAATACTAAACTG